GGGGAATAAAATGTTAACAAAATGCAACCAATCTTTTGAATCACTGCCTATAATCTTACTTTGTCTGGCATAGTCTCCTTTAGAAGCCTGTACTAAGCAACTTCCATCCTTGCCACAGAAAAAAGATACCATTTGTGAGTCATGTCTGTGCGAATTTCAGAACAATTGTGCGAACTCGGATATGAAGTTTTGCCTGATTCACATATGCCCAAGTCCACGACAGTCTGCACACTGCATCACATGCGGTTTAGTTTGATACTGGTTGAGTCCAAAAAAACACTAGAAATCACCTGGAACATCAGCAACACAGAGGTGGTTGAGCGGCAGCAACAACAACAGTAACAGAAACAGGCGCAAGCAGGGGGGCAATTGATTGTAGTTTGCGATGTTTTTCTCAAAGCGATGTAGTTTGCGATCTACCGAACATGCGATCCACACCCCCGAAACAAGTCGTCCTGGCATGATGACCAAGTAGTCGTAAGAGTTGAGTTTGCTCTTCAGATGACCGCTGGTCCATAAGTGCTCTCACGGCCTTTGTCAGATGGCCAAACATGAAACACCGACAAGAAACAAAGGTGATCAAAGGACTAGGCCTGATCGCCACCCTGTAGCAGCGCTTGCTGAACTTGTTGCCAGCATTCAGTGGCCGCGGTAGCCTCACAAGAAACAACAAAGTTCGCTGACTGATCTGTCCCGATTCAGGAAGCCCGTCATGTCAAGTATTCAAGATATATGGCATGACACCATCTCATGCATTTCACCAATTCAAACGCCAAAAGGACATAAAGTTACAGGGTTTGCCGCGGACAACAACGAGCGTGAACAGATGTCTGACATTTTAGAGAACAACAACTGCTCAAATGATTTACATGTTCTATCTGAATTCAGTCTTGTAGAAAAACAAATTATTGGTTTATGCCATTGAACGCATGTGTATTCTGAAAGATACAAGCGTTCGCAGCCTAAATCAGTTGTGCAAGTCGAGAAATGTCAGAAATTCCTGGTCCTGTCCACATGTGTCATTCCGTACTGAGACCACAGCCGCTTCGCTGCAGCTTTCAGTGTTCAAAGGTAGGGCAACGTGAACTATCCACTCCTGCTGAAGAAGCAAAGCCAAGCGACAGAAAGTTGCAGAACTTGAACTGACAACCACACTTTTAGAATGTATTTTGCACGTTCGAAATTTTATCAGACCTCAACTTTCTGGGAGTCAGGCCAGAAGTTTTCTGGGAGCCGGAAGCCTTCGACAAAGTTTCCTCTCTCCCAAAGCTTCTATGAAGCCTCGCGTCAAACGGATCCGCAAAACTCAAACCCGACCACTTCAGCTAAACAAAAAAAATTGACTTAGTGCCTTCAAACCGCCTGAAAAACACTGGAAGTACGAATGGCAAACAAAGCAAATTTAGATAGATTTTGTCAAAGGATAATGTGCGTGTATATATATATATAAGAATTCAAGTTCGGCGCACTTTTCCTTCCAGTTTGCCTTGCGTAGTTGTTCAACATGTCACTCCGTTGCTCGATCAAAGTTGAGAGCTGGAGGACTGATCCATTCAAGGGCCATCACAGTCATGCTTGGTGGTCATATTATTTATGCATACTTAGCATATATGCATATCTACATAATATGTACAGTACAAATGTATGCAAATACCTTATATATGTGTGCCTGTATTGATAAATGTGTATATATGTATGGTATATATATGGATGCCAAATATTATATAGAATTATTTATTTGTCTATGTATCAAATTACCTATTTATGTATGTAGAATATTATATTATTGTATCATTATATTATTATATTATTATGTGATTATATTATAATATTATTATATTTCTATATTTGTATTATTATATTATTATATGATTATATTATTTTACCATAATTGAATTATATTATTATTGAATTATAGTGTTATTGAATTATATTATTATATCATTATATCACTATATGAAATGGTTCTATATTGTTATATTATTATATTATTAAATTATTGTATTAATAAATTATTATATTATTAGATTAATATATTATTATTACATTCCTATATTATCATATTATCATAGTATTAAATTATTCCATTATTATAGCGTTATATTTTTTATATTATTATCATATCATATTATTATATCATTAAATTATCATATTGTCATACTATTATATTATCATATTATCATATTATTATATTATCATCGTATCATCTTATTATATCATTATATTAAGATATTGTACTATTACATTACTATATTATTATATTATTATAATCTTATATTATTACATTTTTGTATTATTACAAAAGTTTATATTATTAATTTATTATATTATTATTATATTACTATATTTGTAAAATTGTATTATTACTATATTACTATATTTGTAAAATTGCATTGTTATATCAAATTATCATATTGTTATATTTTTCTATTATTCTATTTCTACAATTTGATTATTTTATTGTATTATATTATTACTTCAAAATAGTCTCATATTATTGATTTTTTCTATAACCCTAATATTATATTATTGTATTTATTATTATTAGATTATATTATGATCTTTCTATATGTTCAAATTAACATATTATCAAATTATTAATATATAATAAATTTTGATTACATTTTTACATTATTACATTATTATATTATCATATTATCTTATTATTATACTACATTATTATTACATTATTATTAAATTATTATATTATTATATTATTTTATTATTATATGATTATATTTCTATATTATTAAATTATATTATTATACATTATGATATTCTGATATTACTATTACATTATATGTTACTATATTTTTTTATTTTATTATTTTCTTTTATTATTAAACTGTTGTGTTACTATATTACTAAATTATTATATTGTTATATTTTGAAATTATTATACTGTTATATTTTTATATTCGTATATTTCATTATTACTATATTATTATACTATGATATTATTATATTATCAAATTATTATATTATCATTTTATTGTATCAGTAAATTATTATATGTTTGTTTCATTGTATTATTGCACTATTTTCATGATATTGTATTATTACATGATTATATTATTATCTCATTATATCATTATATTATTATATCATTATTATTATATTGATATAACATTATATCATTATATTTTTGTAGCATTATATTATTATTTTGTTATTATATTCTTATTGTGTTATCAGATAATCATGATGTTATATTGTTATTGTGTTATTTTATTATCATATTAATTTATCATAGTATTATATTATCATCTTATCATATTTTCATATTATCATACTATCATATTATTGTAAATTTATTTAATTATTTTATTATATTATTATATTTTTATTTTATATATTATTACATATTATTACATTACTACACTACTACATTATTACATCATTACATTAGTACATTATTACATTATTACAGTAATTCATGATTAAGTGATTATATTACTAAATTACTATTCTGTGAGCAGAGAACATCCATGCCACAACTGTAGACATTTTTGGTGCGAGAGAAACAGGGAGCCCTTGTTTAGTGACAAGGGTTATGAGCCCAAGCACCCACGCGATAGGAGGGCTGTGGGAGCCATGGTTGAGAAGTCCCTATCTTTGCCTAGTAGGGCACCCACTGAAGCTGGATGGAGTGGTAACCCATTCTACTCGGTGAGAGCTCAACGGGAATGTGCCCTACAAGCTTCTCGTCCTGTAGATCTTCCAATGGATGATGATACGGAAAGGGATCCCCTACAAGACTCTTTTGGGATAGCTGAACAACCCCATCAATCGTCAATGTTGCCAACTGGGAAAGGGCGTGGGATGCGAGCGACGGATGGACCGCTCCCTCCGATGCCTTCAGTGATGAAGGGCATGGCGAGATGAGGACTGAAGGCAAGCCTGATGAAAGTTTGGGGGTTCAAACCATGGGTCCAGTGAAGACTATATACTAGCATGGGTTCTGGTCAGAACAAGTAGATGGTTTGCAAAGAGCACTGGAAAGTGAACTTGTTGACTATCTTCGGAATCAAAATTCGAAGCTAATGGATGAGTGAGCAGTTCTCAAGGGCAAAGTGCAGAGTATGTCGGCAGTGCCAGCCGAATCTGGGATGGAGTCCTCAGTCTGCAATTGGGGTGACTTCTGAAGGGAGTTCCAAGGGCACTATGGGGGCTTCCCAATCAGTTCGCCATGGAAAACAAGGGAGCAGGACACCCAGGTCACGCACTTAGCCCTGAGAATGGAGTTAGAAAGAACCATGCAAAGTTCACCTCAAATGGAACTAGAGTACCTGATGGGTTGAAGAACCCATCTACCCTCCTGTGCCACCGCTTCCTGTGGTGGATGAACGAACCGCCAGCGGCCGACACCAGTTTTGTCAGCAACCTCAACATGTACGACACTTGTGAGTCGAAGCCGCGTGTGAAAAATGGTGAGGTGAACTGGAAACCCAAAGAAGAGGGTTTCTTGTCAGCTAGTGAGGCAAAACAGGTATGGTTAGAACGAGAAGTTCAATCTCTTCGGAAGGCACTTGCAAAGGTTTCAGTTCCAACAGCTTTTCATGAATCTGGGTACTGGAATGAAGGTTTTCAGCGGTTCGAGCCATCTAACCCTGGGTCTGACCCTGCTGCAACGGCTCTGGCAATGCATCAATGTGCTCGAGCTCTTCCTGGTGGAAGTGGAGATGTTTACCTACAGCCTCGGCCTGAGCATGGTGGAAGTGGTGTTGATGCCCTAGTGGATCGGGCACCAGCGGGCGCTTCTACTGTTCCTGGAGGCATTCGGGCTGCATATACTTGCATGGTGAACATCTTGGGAAAGATCGGGCACTGGGGCACGGGGGAGATTTCCATGGTAGTCGGGCTTTCTTTGAGCACGGTGCACATCAATGCGGTAGTCGGGCTCCCATCGAGCACGGAGGACATCGATGCGGCGATCGGGCTTCCATGTTGCACGGTGAACATCAAGAAGGAGCTGGGGCTTTTGAGCATGGGAATCTACC